ATTTGTGTATCAATTCATATACTTAATAAATTTTGCATCTAATGCCCTTTTACGATTAAAAAAAAAAAAAAAAAATTCTAATAATTCAATTTGATTTATATTAAATTTAATATGAGAGTTATATCTATAATTTTGAAAATTGGATTTGCATAAACTTATATAGACTTGCATAAGATTCAAACCATTATTAAAAATCATAGTAAGATATAATTTAAATATTAAATTTAATATAAATCTAATAATTAAAGTTGAATCAAATTGAATTGTTAGAATTCTTAATTATATGTTTTCAATTATAAAAGATTAAACAAATGCAATAAATACTTGTTTAATTATAGAAAAAATCTTTTTTATAAATTTATGATATAAATTTAACATAAAAATTCAACATATAAATATGCATATTATTTTAAATATTTTTTATTAATATATTGAATTTTAATTATAATTGATTATAATTAATATTATTTTAAAACATCAATTGATAAATTATCAAATTTTTTTAACTCTCAATTAACTATTAAAAGAATGATTATAAAATTAATAATATTTGAAAATAATTTTGATATTAAATTAACAACAGTCATTAGTGGTTTTGATTTATGGATACTGAAAATTTGTCATTATTAAATTTTAAAAAATTTTCCATTGATTTTTCAGAAAATACCAGTCAAACAAATGGCAAAACATCATATACTTTTAACAAAAGAAAAAGGAATTCATGTCTCCCTAATCCTTTTACAAAAAATGAAAATAAAAATAAATTAGATATAATATTTTTTTCATTATTTATTATTATTATTTCATAATTTATTCATTTGATAAAAAAATATTTTTATTTTTATTTATGCAAGAATTTCCTTTGGTTTATATTGGAGCAATATTGGTTCCGCGCTATTTAGTTAAAAATTTTTCGCGATTTCGCGAAATTCGTGAAATTCGTTACGTGACTCATATACGGTGGACATAAATCGGAAATTTCCTCGAAAGCACATCCCCAAAATATGTCAAAAAAGTCTTATTATTACATGTCAATTTGCTGAAAATATACGATGCACAGTATTTTTGACGTTCTAATTAATCAATTATGTTGGTTGATTTAACACAATAATTACGACAAATTGAATATAATAAAGAATGATGTGAAATAAACTTTCCCTTTTAGGTGCTTACAGATAAGTGAATAATACCGGTCTAATTTAAAATGGTCAAAAAAAAAATTTTTTTTATATTTGATAACAAAAAATTAATATTGAAAATTACCGTCACTTCTGTTAATAAACAATCTCCAAAAGTCGGGTGAGACCAATGGAATAAACAAAAGATTGGAATATTACTTTATTTGTTTAAAAGGCTTAACGTAAAGCAACAATGCTTGGGGAAGAATTTACGAAATTACTAGAAGGATTAATGAAAACAACAATACTTGGGGATAATCTACGAAAAAGAAACCATTTTTGGAAATAAGTGGGATAAACATAATATATCTTAATGATTGACTGTCGACTTGTGATTCATGTTGTCTCAACATTCGCTTTCATGTGTACCGATGACCATCACGCTGATCGAATGAGCGGGTATTAATAGACCGTGAAGATTTTTCATAATTCTTATCTGGGGACCTTCTACGGTTTGCTTAACTTCTTTCTGCGATCAATTCTGTCCTTTAAGGTTTTAATTCATAATGCCTCCCCAAACAATCTCTGAACATGTTCCTATCGAAGGTAGATTATAATTATTCACGGTTACTGCTTTTGCATCCGCATTCAAGAATTGAAAGAGAAACCTTTTATAGGACCTAAAACTTTTTCCAGAGAGGAGGTTTTAAAATCTCGTGATGTCGTCCGAAAAAGTATGGATGGAACGAAATATGAAACATGTCAACCGTGGTACATAATCATCGATAATAAGGTTTATGACGTCAAAGATTTCGTGCCAGATCATCCAGGTGGTTCAGTCATCTTGACACTTATTGGAAAGGATGCTACCGGTAACGTGATCAAATTACGCGTGACGTCATCATATATGCGTTCTATTGAATAATTCCTTTCGCTTTACATGATCGTCGCAGATGCCTTCAATAACTTTCACCAAGAAAGCACTCATGATTTATTAGCAAATTATTATGTCGGTGATGTAGCACCAGAAGATATCGCCTCCACGAAAGAAGGTAATTAGATGTAAATCACACACACAACTTAAATCGAAAGTTTTATTCATTTATTAATCATTAATGATTTTGCCTAGGATTCTCGAAAGAACTTCGAGAACTTAAAGAGCTCTTCGTAAAGCTCAAGTATTTTGAATCTTCGAAAGCATACTACCTTTTTAAAATATCCAGCAATATCAGTATCTGGGCCTCTTCGGTCTTGTTATTGTATGCGTTTGGCAACTCAATCTTAGGTGTACTAGTGGCCGCCATCGCACTAGCAATATTTTGGCAACAATGTGGGTGGTTGGCGCACGACTTCTTGCATCATCAAGTTTTTCAAAATCGAGATTATAATAATTTAGCGGGATGTTTTATTGGTTCTGTCTGCCAAGGATTTGATCCTTCTTGGTGAGTATTTTTCTCGACTCTTTCATTTATGATGATGATATCTTAATTAAAATATCAATGATAGGTGGAAAGATAAGCATAATACCCATCATGCCGCACCAAATGTTCACGGTCAGGATCCGGATATTAATACTCACCCTATTTTGAGTTGGTCTGAATACGCATTAACCGATCTTTTTGACCCGGAATTGGCTAGTGAAAATGCAAAAATTCTTCCCCAGTGGTTAGCTCATCTATGGGTCAACAACCAAACCATCCTTTACCTTCCTATAATGTGTTTTGCAAGGATTTCATGGTGTATTCAAAGCATCATATTCATTCTTCCGAATGGTCAATTGAGAAAACCTGCAAATGCTCACATGCCAATAACAAAAATTCAACAAATATCTCTCCTTTTGCACTACGTTTGGCTTTCCTGGATGCTTTCTTTAATTGACAATTGGTTTTTAAGACTATTCTTTTTATTTTCTGCCCAAACAATTTGTGGTTTACTCTTGGCCACGGTGTTTTCCTTGAATCACTTTGGAATGAAAATTTTAAGTGAAGACGAATCGTCAAAAATGGACTTCTTTGTTGAACAAATAATTACCGGAAGAGATATCATTGCCCTTAATCCCGCGAATCAATGGATTGTTGATTGGTTCACTGGCGGTCTAAATTATCAAATCGAACATCATGTAAGCAGGAAATCATTCAATTGCCGTTTATTTCATCCAACTTTTTATTAAATCATGTAAAATCAATTATTAGATATTCCCTGCCATACCACGTCACCATTTCCACAAGATTCAACCAATCATTCAAGGACTATGTGCGAAACATCAAGTGCCTTATCATATGACCACTTTCTTTAAGGGAACCACCGAGGTTTTTGGAACTTTGGGCGACGTTTCACTTACAGCAAGTAAAAAATATTAATATAAATAATCATCCTGTGCATAGTAGAATAAGGTTGCACGTATTGTGCATAAATTGAACTTAACATATTTCGTTATTTTTCCGTGTTGTATCGACACAATGGAATTTTTTCATCAAAGTTTTCGCAGAGTTCACATTGTTATGATAACATACACTGTAAAATTGTAAGAAATTCTTTACTGACTAGAAAAAAAGATTATTATTTTTTTTTTTTTTAATATTATGTGTAAATTCGTAATCAAACGATTGTCCAGTATCAAATTGGTAATAATTGTTAAAAACAACTTTTTAATGGTGACCAAATTAATTGTCTAAATAATTGATTGTAATAATTGTTTTAAATTGCGTTAAAGCACCAAATAATTTTAATTACATATGCTGTGTAGTCCAAAATGATCCAAGGCAACTGTGGTATAGCGAGTCAAAAAATTCAAGGGACCTTTTTCAAGGAACCACAGTAAGATCGTGTACTTTTTTTATTTTTATATGGGCTGACGATCTACGAAAAATCGGCACTATTTCCTTTTAAGCATTACACTAAGACTCGAAGCATAAGATTTTATAGATACGTAATTTTAAAAACTTATTTTCAATGTTGTGTGTCAAATTAGGATTTGCCATTAACTACTACATAAGTTTAACTTAATTAACCGCATGCTCAATATCATTGTAAAATTTGACATTATTTTATTAGAATTACAATTGAAAACGTATACAGTAATACGAAAAGAAACTAGAATTATATATTATATATTCATTTATAATTTATATGAAACTCCATAAATGCATTCATAAATGCATTCTTTAAGACTTTAGGAACAAATTTCCTATAAATTATATAATATTATTAAAAGTATTATTTTTAATATTTCATATGTACCTGTATATACTGCATAAACACCAAAATAAAAGACATGGGGGTGTTCCCCGTATGGCATTTTTATAGCGTACGTGCAGCTGCATTTGAGTGAAATTTCCATACTGTAATAATTATATTTCCGGATTATTTTGCTGGCATATAGAATCACAATTTCGCGAATTTTTCACTACATGACGATCCGTAATATAGTCATGTGCAACCAATAACTTACGTTTTTTTTTTTGCATTTATGCAGGAGTTCCCGTGATCCGGAAATTTCACTCGAAAACAATTCAAATGCGGCTGCACGTATACTGTACAAATATGTATGAGAACACACCCCCATGTCTTTTATTTTGGGAAAAAAATCTCTGCTTACTGCATATGTATAATAAAAATGATATTATAAAGTTTTAGAATATTATGAAAATATACGATTTTTAAAATCTTAAATAAAATTTATTTCATGAATATAACAAAATTTCAATAGTAATTAGACGTTGTAATTTTAAATAAAAAAAACATAATAAATTACTGAGCTAGTTGTCTTTACTCGATCAATAGATGCGTTTGCGTGACATCATTCACCAAATAAAACCTTTTGAACTGCCTTAATTACTTGTGAATGAATTTTGGAGTGGGCCACTATTACTCCCTTGTTTTCCTTTAACTTTCTGCCCAAAGAAAAATTCAAAGGTTTGGAGTAAATATCTGTTACGATACCACCAGATTCTTGAACAAGTAAACTTCCCGATGTATGATCCTATGTTGACACGAAGAAGTCAATTGTCAACTCATAAGATGAACCTAATTGCATATTCTCATGTTAAATATTGAAAGAAATACCCAAATATTTTCTTCATAATGCATTGAGGTAGGCAACCGCAAATATATATCTGCATCGCCCCTGGCGACGGTACTATATTTACACTGACTATCCATGCGAATGGGTGGTTTGGTGACATTCAGTAATGATGCGATCTTTGCTGAATCCCCGTGCGATGAATGCGACGGCGTTACGGATTCGCAAAATAATGCATCAGAAGGTGATGATATATCAGCCATGTGAATTTGAGTCTCCTCGGCAGACGTGAAATTTCGCTGCCAGTAATAAAATTAAGTATGACCATATATGTGCAGGGTAGTAATATAATAAAGGTTACAAAAATACCTGAAATGCGCCTTGTCCCTTCACAGTGACAAACAAACATCCTCTTTCACCTTCTGGCACTTTACTATCAACCGGCAGATTTGGGCATCCCATGACTCCGAGTTGGACGTGACCATCAATGATAAGAGCTAAACATACAGCATATTGATCACCGCGAATAAATCCATCGGTACCGTCAATCGGATCAAGTGCCCACATTCCTTTTGTTTTAAGAATTATTAATCATCTTTATATAATGATGATTGATCAGTTTTAAATATTACTACTAACGTCCTTTTGCGCCCCCGGGATGAGACCCTCGATCTATGGCCTCTAACAACTTCACACAAACAAAATAGAAATAAGATCGAGCAGAATTTCCGATTTAACAATATTTGCAAACCTTTTTATCATCCAGGGGCATGTCCAATACAGAATTGGCCAAGGATAAAACCTTCTCTCTTAACTGTTTTCCCGTGTCCCCGCGTAAATCCTTAGAATCCTCTTCTCCGATGACGGCATCATTAGGAAATGAGTTATGTAAAACTGTGTTCACCACCGCCTGAGCGCCAAAATCGGCAGCTTATTAAAATGTGACAACGTTGAATGAATATGTAAAAATTTTGGGGTTGACTGTCAGTTAAAGAGAAAAATAACGGACGGATATAATACCAGTTACTGGTGACTTGTCTGATTTAGTAATGGTTTCGCCGTCAACGAGTTGTCGAAAAACCTGTTGACAAACCCGGCTTGCTCTTAGAACCGCATCTATTGCTACTGCACGTTCTGCTGCGAGAACTGATAAAAAAACCAATAATTATCATTTTGAGTCCACAACATCCCTTTAAGGTATTGAAACATAACGCACATGACATGATACGTTTTCGAGTGTTGGAGTAACGGTAACGAAATTTTTTTTTTTTATTTTTTATTTTTTTTTTTATGCTTATATCATTCCGCATACATATTTGGAAGATCAGCATGTGAACATTTTTGTGAGATCCTCTAAAAATTCCGCGTTCGATAATTCTGCTATTTTAAAGCATCCAAGTATGACCGGTTCATTACTACGAAACCTAGTTAACGCCCCTTCTTTGAAATTATTGAGAAATGCTGGTAAGAGGACTTTTCCGTGCATTGGTACTTTTGCACAGAAAAGATTTCTTTCCTCCGCCAGTGAGAACATGGTGAGTTCGAATTACTTAATTCTACCTCTTAAAGAAATTCGAGATTTTAACGACAGCTCGTTCGTAATGTCTCGAATACATTATAGGATAGCATTTTAATAGAGCGCGTGAGGATACGACGGACCACAAATTGACATTACTTTTGTTTATTTAAGATGACCGTTAGAGACGCTTTGAATTTAGCGCTCGAAGAAGAGTTTATCCGTGATGAGCGCGTTTTCTTGATTGGAGAAGAAGTCGCTCAATACAATGGCGCATATAAGGTAGATGAGTTGCAGAAATTTCCCAAAATCATGATTAACCCAGAATGACTCTGGTAATTTTGGTTTTTATTGTTTTTTTTATTAGGTTTCAAAAGGTCTTCTCGATAAGTTCGGTCCAAAGCGTGTAATTGACACGCCGATAACAGAAGCAGGATTTGCCGGTCTAGCTGTTGGCGCAGCCTTATCTGGTTTAAGGCCAATTTGCGAATTCATGACATTTAATTTCTCGATGCAAGTATGTTACAATAGATATCAACTTTCATGGAATCTTGTTTCATTGATTTTTTTTATCTAATTATTTTTCGTACTCAAGAATCTTGTCATACTTTAAAGGCCATCGACCAAGTGGTCAATTCTGCTGCCAAAGTTTGTTACATGTCTGGTGGCACTGTAGAATGCCCAATAGTTTTCAGGGGTCCTAACGGATCAGCAATAGGTGTAGCCGCTCAGCATTCTCAAGACTATGCGGCATGGTATGGCGCTATTCCAGGTTTAAAGGTAGTTTCTCCGTGGGACAGTGAAGACGCTAGAGGATTATTGAAGGTATGGTATGAATTCATTTCCTCAGAAAAAATCATGACCATATTAAATATTTTTCTATTTTTCTTTTCTAAGGCCGCCGTTCGAGATCCAAACCCTGTTGTTTTATTAGAGAATGAACTTCAGTACGGTGTGTCATTCCCGGTTCCCCAGGAAGCCATGTCTCCCGATTTTGTGTTGCCAATTGGTAAAGCAAAAATTGTAAAAGAAGGAAAGGATGTAACTCTTGTCTCATATTCGAGAACAATGAACTTTTGTATTGAAGCTGCTGAAAAGTTAGAGAAAGATGAGGGGATTTCAGTTGAAATTATTAATTTAAGGTCGATCAGACCACTAGATATAGACACGATTATTAATTCTGTCAAAAAAACCAATCACTTGGTGTCTGCGGAATCTGGATTTCCTCATTTTGGTGTTGGGAGTGAAATATGTGCTTTGGCAATGGAAACCGAAATATTCGATTACTTGGATGCACCAGTAGAAAGGGTGACAAGTGCCGGTAATTTATTTATAATATTTGTATGTCATATTCTCGGGGCAAATCGATTCATTCATTCTCTTTATACTAGATGTTCCCACGCCATACGCTCAAAACTTGGAATACTTGAGTTTTCCAAATGCCGAGGTAATAGTAAAAGCCATTAAACGTAGTCTATACAAAAAAGGCAAATAAATTAGTTACAAGAAATATGCTGTCAGGGTTCCTACCAATGTATTAGATATTCTATAATTTTGCTAATTTATGAGAAAGAATTAAGTGATTGAAATTTCATTTACTGTTTGAAGACATTGACATTTTAAGTCGCAATGAGTTAGAAAGATTCTAATATTAATTAATAATTCTCATGATTTATGCGAAACAACAAGACAAATTAAAATGCATTTATTTTGTAATCCTGACGGATTATCGGTAAATGAATCATTAATTTTGCGTTTTATTCTCGTTCATTCGACATGAATAAGCAAATGTTATTTATGTAATCATTATTTGATTAACGTTGCATTGCGAATGTACTAGTGACTTAAATGTTAATTTATTTTTTATATTTTATTTATTTATTCTAAGTGGTGAATGTGCACTGATGAGAACCAACTAATATTTAGTTAATTACATCAAACATTTTCTACATATTGTAGCTTAACATTGTCTATTACTATTTCTAATAACAACTTGTTCATTCACCACTTGACATATCTAGTTATACAAATTTATTATCCTGATAGTGGGTTTATACATCAAATGGAATATAATTACTATGAGATGGAAATCCTATCACTAGTTCTAACCTATCTAACTTACTTGGTTGCTTACTTATAAGAAGATTATATAAGTGCTATTATAAAAATTAAATCAAATTATTCCAGTCAACTTTATTACTGATTCTTGAAAGATATTACTGATATAATATAGTACATGTATTTTGTTTCTATTACTAGTTCAAATTAGTTATTTGATTGCTAAATTATAATCAATAAAATTCAAATTTGTTAATAAAAATTTATGCCAAAGTTTTATTGTTTGGTCAAATTCATGTCATTTGGCATTTAAAAAATAAAAAATTTGAAAATTTATATTATAAAATTATTTAGCATTATATATTTTGATAAAGTAAAATTTATAAAAAATTGGCTTATTAATATATTTTACAAATTGTATATTTTTTGAAAAAAAAATTATATTTATAATAATATTTAACAATTGTAATTAATCTATTAAAATCTATTAAAAAATATACAAAGAAACTCTCAAAGTGCACTTTCTCTAAATACATACCCTCCCTTGATGCACTTTTTTTTTTGGTCCCAAGTTGGACAATAATACTAGTTGCACACTTCTTATCTCTGCATGTGCAATAAATTTTTAAAATTTATTATATTAAAATTTTTTTGTAAGTGCATACATGTGATAATCACACTATATAATATATTATAATAATTGTAGAAAATTGATTGATATAATTAATGTCTAAAATTTTTTTATCCAATGTATAAAAATATGAGTTTTGCTTTTATACTCAAAATAACAAACAAACTAGAGTTGAATATACAAAATAGATTTAATAAAAATAGGAATTAAAGATTCGTGAATCAACTATTATACATATTCTTCAAATTAAAGATAAAAAACTTGTTATTAAAAATATTGATTCAAAAGTAAAAAAACAAATTTCAATTATTGTTCCTGAATTAGAGCTTGCTCTTAAAAAATTTATTTTGATTTATCAAAGTAATGTATTTTTAACTAATGTTATTATAATTGAAAAAGCTAAATTATTAACTAATGGATTAGGTGTTTCTGAAAAAACATTAAAGTTTTCTAATGGGTGGCTTCAAAAGTTTAAAATCTATAATAGAATTTATAAATAAAAATTTTATAAGAAAGCAGGATCTATAAATTAAGATATTATTACACAATCTTTATCATTGTTATAAGAAAAATGTAAAGAATTTTTTTTGACTAAATTTACAATATGAATAAAACTGGTCTTTTTTATAAGTAAATAAAAAAATTTTTTTATTAATATGGGTAATTATTTTCGAAGGTGGACCGGAAATTTTCTGGTGTGATCCTAAAATTTATATTATATAAGTATTGTTTAAAAACTGGGTCCGAAAAAATCATACCTAGCATTTCTGTCGCCTTCAAAAATAATTACCCATATATCTTTTTTTATTAAAGTTTTTATTAATTGTTATAATTATAGACTAGAATTAGATCAAACATTGGCAATATGATGTTTTGCTAGATAAAAAAAAAATAAAAAACATTTATTACTTGTATTGTGTATAAATGTGAATGGATCACATAAGTTAGATCCATTTATAATTGAAAAATATGCCAACTCATATTGTTTCAAAAATATAAAGATTCAAAATTTACTCATGACTTATTGAAATAATGCCAAAGTATAGATGCTTATGGTTCATTTTCAAGAATGGTTTCAAGATTTCAAGCTTTAAGTAACAAAAAAACATGGCAAACAATCAATACTATACATGTTACTAAAATTTGTAGATTCTTGACACAATTGATGCAATTATTTGACACAATTAATTGAGTCAATATTAAAACATATAAATAATTGAGTCATAATGTAATTATTTTTGAGAATTTTAGAAATTGAATCAACAGTAAAATAATTTACACCATATATATAATCTATATTCTTATTATTAAATAATTGTTCAAGTTACAAAATTGAAAACTTGAATCTTAATCATATCAAAATTTATTTTTTTCCTTCAAAAACTACTTCAAGGATCCAACCAATAGATGCCAAAGTAATTATAACTTTCAAAAGACATTATCATTATATTTATCTTTGGTAGGTCATTTATTATCATTTGTTTATTTTTCTTATACATTTATATGTTAATTTATTTTTTTTCTTGATATATTCATTTCCCAGTCTATCTATTTTATCAGTTCTACCTATTTATCTTTTCCATTTACTCCATTCACTATTATACATTCTTCCTTACTCTTTGTCTCTTTACATTATCAATTTCGTATTTCTTTAACTCTCTCTATTTATTTTTTATTTCTTCTGATCCATTCCTTTTTATTCACTTTTATTTTATCCATTTGTTCTTCTTAACCCTTATTAATTCTTTTTTTTTTTACCTTTCTCATCCCAATGGCTCAAAAAAATTTTTTTATCTCTTTCATCATTATTTCTTGTTTAATTTTTCCACTTCTTCATTTCTATCTATAATATAAATATTTTATTAATAATTTACTTGTCTGTTCTTTCCTACTTTCCATTCATTCTTCCTTTACCTATAATTATTTGTTTTCTTTACTCCCTCCATCTGTTCACCCCCATCAGTAATATAAATATTTTATTAATAATTTGTTTGTTGTTCTTTCTTATCTATTGTTGGGGGTGATAACGGCGAGTCTGTCGCTACGTCGCGATCGCCGATCGTGTAACGTCGAAAGAGGCGTGG